ATGAATGATAGATAATGACAAAACTAACCTGTGATTATAATTATTTTCCGCTTGCTCTTTCTCGTGGTCTCGGCATCTATAAAAATAAGCCAAATATTGCGTTAAGTGGTGGAAGACAACCAGCCTTCGGTCCTGAAACGGCAGCATTATAAACACTTAAAGAATTGTTGTCATAGGAAATGTTGTCGACTACGTAATCATTTTCAGGTATGCGAAGAATCGGATAGCCCTGCCCATCACAACTGATGTTGAACTCTGGGAAACCACAATAAGATTCTTGCTGATCGACCTTGAAGATAAAAGGGATACATTATTTCTGGACCATGGGCACATTTCTTTGTCTCACAGGCTTGATATTGAAGATCATCATCATCAGCAGCAGCAGAAGAAGAAGATTTTTGTGGCAGAAGGACAAAATTTAACACTATGAAGATGCATATGATTTTTTGGTTCATTATTTGTGATTTTGTGATACTGATGAATAGCTGATTAGTAGAAGTTCGATAAACATGGAAGTATATTTTAATGAATGAGAGCTCGAATCAAGGAATTGAGGATGGCTTGACTGGGTCAATGGTCCTTGTTCAACTTGCCCTGCCAAACTGATGTAACAATGTTAGATATGACAACTTCATCTTGTGAATTCTATAAAAAGTTGTTTACATTCTTTGGAAGTATCGAGTAAATTTGTAATATTTTTATACATGTAATTACAATCGTTATGCTATGGACCCGTGTCCAACATGCATTGTGGACACGAGTAACAGTGCCGTTAGTGGCACCGTTATCTTTCACTTTTTTTTTTTTTTTTTTTTTTTTCAAACCGCTTCGTTATAGGAGTATATGCTCATAATTGTAAGTTCATAATGCCAGAGCTCTGTGTTCATAATTTTATAACTTACATTCATAATTCCATAACTGTACATTCACAATGGCACAAATGAATAACGCCGTTAACGGCGAGAAAATCAATTTTTTTTTTAATAATTGAAATGCCGCGTTTTCCCTGAAAACGAAGTCGTTTTGGACTCGTGTCCGCAATGCATTATGGACACGAGTCGACAACATAATTTGCCATTTAATTAAGAGTAGGCCTAGTGGGTTCCTATTTATAACAAAAAAAAAAAGGTCACTTCAGTTAACTCATTTCCCTTATCTAGTTATAGCCTTGTAGACTTGTAGTTCATAAATATGTGAGTTAGAGTTTCCTGTGAGTTAATGGCAACACATTTTTAATTTAGTTCCGATCCCCATCATTTTGAAAGGTTATATTTAATAATCATTAATTGTTACCATGGCGATGATTATATTGTAATTATTAATTTATTAATTAACTTTGTAATATATTGTAGGGAAAATGACACTTTTTCCCCCTAAGTTATATACTTATAGCACTTTTTCCCCCTCAATTATTTATGTAAGCACATTAGCCCTCTCAATTATTTTAAGGGTGTGTTTGGAAACCCGGAAAATGATTTCTGGAAATCATTTTTCGAGTTTTTGGTGTTTGGCTGTGCAAGGAAAATAGAAGTCAAAGGAAAATGCCACATAGTCAATGGAAAATGAGGCCTCTTTTCCGGAAAATGACTTCCCCTTTTTTTGGGGGAAGTCATTTTCCATTCATTGTTCTCTCATCTTTTGGCTAGATCTCATCTTTTGGCTAGAGAATTTCCGCACCAACCCCTATTGCGCACGGTTCTCTCATCTTCGAATTTAGTTTTCAATTTGTGGCTGTACCGAAGTGTTCTCTTCTACTCTCTGGTGTCCGACCGGACACCAGAGAGCAGTGCTCTTTGGTTTCCAGCCGGAAACCAGAGAACACGGTCGCCGTCTCTTTTTTTTTTTTTTTTTTTTTTTTTTTACTTTTTAATAAATAATATTATTTGATTATTTGATTTCAAAAAACAAATATTTTATATTTTAAATAAAATAATTAATTATATAAACTATTTAATTATATAATTCTACCTCATTTTCCAGAAAATGAACCAAACACACAAAGACAGTTTTCCACTGTGCAGCTAAACACGAGAAAGAAAAATGTTTTCCGAAAATTAACTCATTTTTCAGAAATCATTTTCCAGAAGTCATTTTCCTGCTTTCCAAACGGACCCTAAAAGTGGTTGTTTTTCCCCCAAATATATTAAATTGACATTTCTACCCTTAAAGTAAACATTTTATTTATTTTACTTTTCCAACAAATTATTGCGTATATGTAGCGATTACCACGGTTCGATTCGAACTGAACTAGACACTATAGCAATCGAATTAAAAGTTTTCAGTTATGATTCATATCTAGAACCCAATATTTGGATTTCAATTTATTAAATTTAAGAATAAAAAAAAACTGGATCATGAACCGTGAACCGGCGGTTCCGGATCAAGTTCGTGATTTTGAACCGTCTTTATTTTAAAATTTTATTTTTTATTTTAAAATAGTCTAAATTCAACAATAAATGTATTTTATTTTTTCATTTTGGAACATGAACCGGTCATTCCGGTTCGCGATTTTAATAAACTCTAAATATCGCGTTTTGATTATAAATTGTAATTGAAATATTTTGGTTTGGTTGCTATAGTATCTGTTTGGTTTGAACCAAATTATAGTAATAATTTGTTTGAGAATAAAAATAAATGAAATATTTATTTTAAGGGTAAATATGTCCATTTAACATTTCAGGGGGAAAAAGAGCCACTTAAATAATTGAGGGGGAAAAAGTGCTATAAGTATATAACTTAGGGGAAAAAAGTGCCATTTTAATCAATATATTGCTTCAATTCTATTAAAAAAATGTGACCTTAATAAATTTTATCAAACAGGCAGTCATTTCATATATATTCATTTTTTTTGTTCATATTAGATAGGAAATCATGTATGTTCTCCAAGGCAAATTATGCCCTGGACCCGTGTCCACACTGAATTGTGGACACGGGCCCAAAACGACGTCGTTCTTTAAAAAAAAAACGCGTCATTTAGTTAAAAAAAAATTCGCGTGTTTTGTCGTTAACGGCGTTATTTTTTTTTTGGATTATGAATGTACAGTTATGCCGTTATGAATGTACAGTTATACAATTATGAAATTATGAACACAGAGCTCTAACATTATGAACTTACAATTATGAACATATATAGTGATAAAATTATGACCATGGAGCTTTAAAATTGTGAATATAGAGCTTCAAAGATTATGAATGTACAGTTATGGAGTTATGAATGTACAGTTATAGAGTTATGAATCTACAGTTATGGAGTTATGAATCTACAGTTATGAGATTATGAATCTACAGTTATGGAATTATGAATGTACAATTATTGATCGAATTATGAACAAAGAGCTCTAACATTATGAACTTACAATTATGAACATATAGTGATAAAATTATGAACATAGAGCTCTAAAATTGTGAACATAGAGCTTCGAAAATTATGAATGTACAATTATGGAGTTATGAATGTACAGTTATGGAGTTATGAATGTACAGTTATGGAGTTATGAACGTACAGTTATGGAGTTATGAATGTACAGTTATGGAGTTATGAACGTACAGTTATGGAGTTATGAATGTACAGTTATTAACATATAGTAATAAAATTGTGAACATATACTCCTATAACGAAGCGGTCTGAAATTTAAAAAAAAAAAAAAGAGAGAGAGAGAGAGAGAGAGAGAGAGAGAGAGAGATAACAGTGCCTAACGGCACTGTTACCCGTGTCCAGCAAGCATGCTGGACACGGGTCCATAACGATTGGTTCTCCAAGGGCAAAGTAATATGTATGTGAACATCTTTTCTTCTTATCTGGTCATTCTGGTGAGGCTTTGCTAACTTTTTCATAAGGAGCAATTTACATAGTAATTTAAATGTATACACAAATGTTTATGTCCTCTTGTTTGAAATAAATGTGTATTTAATACATATATCATATTGATTTGTTGATATAAATATTTATTCTTGAGGATGTCAATATATGCTTATAGTGTATCTTAAGTTGCATCAATAACATTTTCTACAAGATGTGCATATAGCATTTGTTGATAAATATTTTGATTATTGAAATGTAAGCTGTGTACATTAGTATATATACATGTGTGCATTTGCAGTTTTAATGCATTCCACTAGAACAAAGCTATTCACTATTGCTTGGCTTCAGAACACTAAAAGAAATTAATTGGATAGCAAATGCATAGGATTCATGGATCTCCTACTAGCAAAGTGATACTTTCATTTGCACATGCATACATATTATTTCTGAACGAAATAAGTTTTAATATATATATATATAGCAGCATTACTAACTTAAGTAAACAGGTTACAGAACTGAAGGTTCAGAGATTCTGGTGTGCAAATCGAAGATGTTATGCTGAACATAGCACGGGTTTAATTGAGCTTGAGTTTAAGGTACATTTTTGGTAATGATGTAAACACATAGTTATTTACCATTAGTAGGGTGGTTAAACTTGTTGTGTGATATATTGCCAATAAATTCAAATTATCTTTACCGTTGCATATTTCTATTTGGGATTATTCCAGTTTTGGTTCTTTGAGTATTGCATTTGGTTTACTTACAATACATTTCTATTTGTTTATTTGTATCATCCATAAAGATGGGTGGAATATTGCACTGCATGCTGGCCCTTTGGCCCTTTGCTTAGTCACCTTTAACATGCTATTGCGTATTGATTATACACATGTCAATGTCATCAATGGAATCTGACATAAATTAATAAGAGATATAAGGTTAAGATTCAGGATCTGGAGAAAGTTCTGGAGCCTTTATTTTACCACTGGAAATAGAAGAGACAATCAAGAACTTAGGCATTTGGTGACTTCACAACCGCATGGTAAGAAGAAAAAAATGTTATCGTTGGTGTGTGTGTTTATTTATTTTTATTTTTTTTTTTGTGGGGGTGGTTGGCTCTATTACTCTTGGTAGTTGAGAATCTCTATCTCATATAAGCATACATGTTTTTTTTTTTGGTGATGACATGAATTAATGTGGTTTATAACTCGTGCCAATGTGGTTTATAACTCGTGAGCATGAGTTCCTCAAGGAGATCGGAATCGGCCCTACAAACCTCAGCTGCTACGTCAATGGGGCGTGGAAGGCTAGTGGACCTACGGTCTCCACTGTAAATCCGGCCAACAATGAGGTCAGTTCATTTAGTTAAGTTTTCTTCGTTTTGATTTTGAAAAGCAGGCAGTGAGATTATGAGAAAATGGAGTGAATAGTTGATGGAGATTGGCAATAACGGCAAATTGCATAAATGATTTGGTTCTATGAGTGAACTTCGGAGTGTTTTTTACACGAAAATTTTGGAGTTCCTAATTTGTTTGAAGTTTATTGTTCCGAATTTCATTGATTCGACAAGTATGGTTGATAATTATTTGTTAATAAGGAGAAGTTCCTTTTATGGATTGCGGCGCTGATAGTTTATTTTTATCTTTATTTTTGTGTTCATTAACTCAGACCATAGCCGAAGTTGTTGAAGCTTCAATTGAAGATTATGAAGAAGGCATGCAGGCTTGTAACGAAGCAGCAAAGCTGTGGATGCAGGTATATTCATCACGATGATATCAATCTTGTCACCCTATCTTCACTTTTGTCAAAATCACCTGCCTAAAGTATTGTCACTCACATAGTTGTGTGCCTACAGTGTGAAAAACATCTTAATTTTGTACTTGATCTCTTCTTGACTCCTTTAGTGTAAACTAAATGTCTTGATTATTTCTATTTTGTCTCAGATTCCAGCACCAAAAAGAGGTGATATTGTTAGGCAGATTGGTGATGCACTTAGAGCAAAACTTCACTACTTTGACTGACTTGTTTCACTTGAAATGGGGAAAATACTACCCGAAGGAATTGGGGAGGTTCAAGTATGTCTACTTTACTAAGTCTGTGGTGTAACAAAAAAGTCTTATTCTTCTGCAACAATGAAACTGTTCCTTGACTTGTTCTCCTGCCAACAATAATGTACAAGTTAATTCCATTTTTGTGAAGGTCTACACTTGATCAACTTCATTGAAGAGGTTGTGGATGCTGCATTGATCAAAGCCATTGAAACAGTGCCGGATTTGAAGGCTTATTTGGGTGCAGCGAGCATACTTATGTAGTATCAAATAAGTATATTTTCATACTTAAGTAGTACGGAGTATCAATCAAGTAGTATATATTTTTTATGTTTTTTTTTTATGAACATGAACATAATTTTTGTTGTAAATAATTTTGATGTTTAAATATATTTTCAATTTTCAATTTAGTGTGTTCATTAATTTGTTGATGACATAATTTATTAAAAACAGTTATAAATAAAATTGTGGTAATATTAAAATAATAAAAATATTCCATATGATTTAGGATTTTCCTACCAACAGTTGGAAGGAAAATAACAAAATATAATAGGTGAGTTTTCTGTCCAACGTTGGGTCGAAATTTCCGACCAACGCACGTAGTTGGACGGAATTTCCGACCAACGCACAAAGTTGGTCGGAAGTTCCCACGTTTTAAAAATGGTGGGTTATTTTTCGGAATTTCTGTCGAATTTTTGTTGGTTGGACGCTATTTCCGACCAAAAATTGTAGTTGGACGGAATTTCCCACGGAGGTTTTTCCGAACGTTCCTTTTGGTCGGTATGTTGGACGGAAACTTCGTTTCCGACCAATATATCGCGTTTTCTGTCCAACATTTGTTGGACGGAAAACGCGAGATTTCCAGTAGTGTAATAGGCCATTTAAGTAAAAGAGAAGAAGGAAGAAGAAACAAAGTGCCGAGCGCCCGAGCCATACCAAGGACCTTGTGGTCCACTGGTATCCAATTGCTCCCTTATGTGGGAGGTCTATGGTTCAAGTCTCGCTGAAGGCATAGATTGTATATGTGGGTAACCTAACCCTCTTTCTTTGTAATGAAAAAATTCAGCATAGATTGTATATGTGGGTAACCCTAACCCCTTTCTTTGTAATGAAAAAAAAAAAAAAAGTGCCGAGCCATATATAGCTTTCCACCAATAATGGAGATGGCATTTAAGAGTAGGCCAAAAGAAAATAACTAATTAAAACGACCTCGACCTTTTAATTTCCACAGGGTGTAATTCAATAATCAATAGACACATGAAGGACATTTATTCATCAGTCTTAGCTTGAGTGTTCATTGTAACTCATAAAACTAGTTTATGCAAACAAAGGTTTAAGCTCGCAACATACACATTATTTTGCTTTAATTGTTAACAGGACTGATGAACATACACATATATAGAGTGAATTCCATTTTTGGTCCTACTGTTATAGGGGCGTTTCCAATTTCAATCCACTTTAATTTTTTTTGCCACTTTACAACCACTGTTATTGAATGTGTTCCACTTTTAGTCCACCGTTAATATTTTCGTCAAGAGGCCGTATAATCAAAGGGTATTTTGGTCTTTTTATGTTTGTCTCTTCTCTTTTAATCCAGGCGCTTCGTCCTCCTCCTCCGATATTCGAAGATGGCTCTTCGAACAACGAGAATGGGAAGCCAAAGCTACATCGTTTCGTTCGTTCCAACATGGGTCGGCGAGGTTTCTTAGGTTTTAGGTTTAATGTTCTCATTTCTTTAGTCAAACATAGTCTTGGATGAGAAGAAAGGTCAAAATACCCCTAGATACACGGCCTCTTGATGGAGATACTAATGGTGGGACTAAAAGTGGAACACATTCAATAATAGTGGTTATAAAGTGGCAAAAAAAATTAAAATGGACTAAAATTGGAAATGCCCCTATAACAGTAGGACTAAAAATGGAATTCACTCACATATATACTTCAAAACTAGTTCTTTCAACTCTTATCTTCGTGCACTAATAAGTCCTTTGGAACCATAATACTTCAGTAGACTATAATACATCAATAAAACTAGAATGTGATGCATGAAAAAGCATTACTATATATAGTGCACCCAAAGATCAAGTACTAGCTTATAAACACAACTGATGAATGTTGTTCCTCGGATCTTGCAGGAGAATAGAGGTAAGGTTGAGGAGGGATTTGCAAATTTTCTAGGTTACCTTCTAACATCTCCACAACCTTTGACATTGATGGTCTAGTTGATGGATCAGTTTGTATGCACCACAAACTAACTATTACCATCTTTCTTGCACACTCATTCTCCTCTTCATTCATTACTCCAATCAATCCAAGCTCATCATCTAACACAAGTCGTGAGTAAATCCAATGTGGAAAGTATATTTTACTGTTGCGGCTAACTCCAACATCAACGTTCTTTCTTCCTCCAACCATCTCAAGAACCATCATCCCATAACTGTAAACATCAGACTTGTGAGAAACTCCTCCTATGTTTTTGCAGACAACTTCTGGAGCAATATATCCAATAGTTCCACGTGCACCAAAGATTGACACGGTGCTCTCTTTTTTGGTGCATAACTTTGCAAGACCAAAATCTGAAATTTTAGGAGAGAAGTCTTCATCTAGAAGAATATTATGAGGCTTTATATCCAAGTGTAGAATTCGAGTGTTGCAGCCACGATGTAAGTACTCTAACCCACGAGCTATGCCTATTGAAATTTGATATAACAGGTTCCATCCTAATTGACGACCAGTCAAAAGATTACTGTTATAAATGAATTTCTCAAGGGATCCATTAGGCATGAACTCATATACAAGAGCTCTTTTTTTGCCTTCAATGCAAAACCCAATTAGAGTGACAATATTGACATGAGAAGTCCTACTAATACTTGCCACCTCATTGACGAAATCTTCTCCACTAGCTCTTAGTTCCTTCAAAACCTTAACTGCCACAAGGTTTTCATTGTGCAATTTTCCTTTATATACAGAGCCAAAATCTCCTTGACCAAGTTCATCCTTGAAAGAAGTTGTGATTTTCTTTACTTCTGAATAACTGAATCTTTTAAGGGCAAGGAAGCCATGGCCGTTTAAAAACTCTGGTGTCTCTTGATACTTCTTTATTTTAGAACAAAATGACAGTTTCTTGGTAATAAAGAGTAGTAGGATGAACATGAATATAAGGACCAGTGCTGCTCCGCCTGAGATTGAAGAAAAAGTACTTGTATCAAGGTCGATCTCATTTGCTCGATCATAAATGTAGAAAATGTTGTCAGTTGATGATGGTTACATGAAGGGTAAAGTTAAACGTGGACAAAACTTACCTGTCACTAGAACTAGTTTCAGCTTTCTCTTTCTTGTGTTTCCTGTTCTTATTTTAAACAAGTGAAACATAATGTTAGATAAATCCCATTTTGATAGGTGCAGTGTTTGTCCATTAGTGATGAATTGAATAAACTAATCTAGCCATAGTCCTTGTAGTCAATCAAAAACATCTTCTAATTAAGTGAAGATCTCATTGAAAAATGAGATTAATAGCTGGTTTTGGGAACTTTTGAAAAGGAATAGATCAGACAAATTTGAGAAGATATTTTGGAGTGGAGAAATGAATAAAAAACTTCAATAGGTTTACCATTTTATGCAGAAAAATAGAAATTTCATTGAAGTTTTTATCTTTTCGCCAAACACTCCTTATATACGTAATAGCTTGATTGAAAAAAATCACTGGGCGCTCGGGATCGAGGCACCTAGAGCCTAGAGCGCCTAGGCAGCGATTAATTGGCACCTAGACGTCCGCGTATTTTTTATTTTTTAAAAATTTGTTTAAAAATTTTTAAGACTTGATAATTATAAACTATTTAATATTTTAATAGTTAATAGTAAAATATTAAATATTAACCTAAAAAACATCTAAAGTTTGAACAATTTAAGGTTATTTCGCTCTAAATGATGTTGTTTTAACTTTTGAGTGAAATAACCCATTTAAAAAAGAAGGGAACAATAACTAATCGGTCGACTAGGATAGGCGACCTAGTCAGTGCATAGGAGGCCTAGTCGGCGCCTAGAAGGCCTAAGTGGCCTAGGTGGTCTAGTCGGTCGCCTAGCCGGCCAGCCGCCTAGACCACCGATTAATCGATGCCTAGGTGGGAGTTTTGCAACGGTGAGTAATAGTGCTTAGTAATGTTAAAGAAATCCTTTACTATAAAATGGTGAACTCCAAAATCATGCTTAGTAAGGTTGAAGAAATTCAAATGATCTTAAAAAAATTGTGACAAGGGCCGCATGGTTGTAAGTGAAGTTTTTCAAGTGGCAATTCAAGTATTATCAACTTGTTGCCTCCAACATGGTAGGATTTTAAACACTACCTTTCAATGACTTTTTTGATGATACCTTATTTTAGGTAAGGACATTTTTGTCTTGTTAATTTTTATTATTTTTTGGTTTTCTACGCAGTGTTTTTTTTTTTTTTTTTTTTTTTTTTGGTTTTTGTCTCTTCAGTCGTAGATTGCACCATCTCCTCCACTTGGCTCGTGTCTTCATCTCTTTCAACCTGACCCCAAATCGTCCTTCATCAATGGCGACGCTAAGTACTTGAGGACCTCCGGTTGCGTAGTGATCATTTTGCAATGTAGATGGAAAGTTCAGGATATCGCCACCCAGTTGGCTTTAGTCTAACCGCTATTGATTTAGTCCATGATTCTACGATTCATCTACTATAGTTGTAGAGTTAAAAAAAAAGATGCTACTTCTTGGTCATCGGAAAATACACTTTCTTAAAATAAGGTTTTATTGGAAAAAAATCATTGCAAGGACAAAAAAATCCAAAATATGAGTCGGGAGTGTTGAATTGCAAAATATCCAAAATATGAGTTAGGAGTGTTGAATTGCAAAAATGGACAAGGGACCTTCACTAGAATTAACTAATTGGGAAAATAATTAAAAAAAAATATCCTTGCTTAAAATAGGGTTTTAATGAAAAAGTCAGATCAAAAGTGTTCAAAATTTAAAATTGGCATCAAAGACAAAAGACTTCCGCTGGGATTAACTCTATTGAATATATATATATATATATATATATATATATATATATATATATATATATATATATATATATATATATATGGAGATTGTAAGTTTGTGACTAGTCAATTACTTTTTTGAATGTGACTAGTCAATTACTTGATTCCATATTAGAGGAATAGAGGATATCGTTCTTTTACAACTTGAGTTTGATGCAAGAAGTAGAAAAGACAAGAGAGTTGATAGAGGGGTGAAATTTTATATTCTTTGGTCCTACAAGTGAGGTTGCTACTCATCTAGTCGAAATGAGCAAGCGAATTGCTTATAGAAACCTCTCTTTTTTATCACTATGCTGGTTAATTTTCAAGAATGTTAGGTATTATTTTTTTACAACAACATTGGGTATTATTTTAACATAGTATTGTAAATGCTTTTTTCTAACAATAAAATCACTATCTCTTGTATTACGAGATTTGAACATAAATAAGAGTAAGATAAAGAGATAAACATGCAGATCAGATGAGCTGTGAGGACAAGAAATCAAGAATGAAGAATGCTTACCTTTTGCACATTGAAATTCATTTTTGCTATCTGATGTACATTGGCCTCCTCCATTGTAACATTGGTTGCAAGCAGGTGAAACTTCAAAGTACAGTCCAAATTGAGTTGTTAACAGATCACTTGTTCGTTCAACAACAATTGGAGTTGGATACAGGGTACAGTTAGCAGAATCACATTTGCGATTCTCTGAAACCAATTCACCTTTGTGATACAAACTAAATTCAGAAAAACAGTTATAGCTTTCATAATCGCAGATAGCATCAGCTTCACTGTATTTGCATTTTATATATTTATGTTGCAATTTGTTTCCTTCCAAATTGTCAAAAGTGATAGAAGGAGAATTGGGAAACTTGACGCTGTAGTTTGAAATTGAGCAATTACGGCTACGGAAGAGCGTTTGAAGCTTCGAGTCTTCAAGGGTGATTGTATTGCCATCCCAGCTTATACTCACAATCTGATACCAATCTCCTCCCGTTTCCAACTGGAGTGTTGCAAGTGGTTTAGCATCACAATCTACTGAGATTAAGCCACAATGAGGGTTTGTGTGGTGAGCAAAAGGGAACTCCAGAGAACCGAGATTTCCACAGGAGAATCCCTTGGGACAATTAGATAGGTACTCGTGTTTTCCATGAGCAAAGTGGAAGGCCAGTAAGGGAATCAGAAAGAAGAAACAGGGATGGAAGGGCATAGCCATAGCAGCTTCCTCAGCTCCTCTATCAATGGAAGAAGAGAGTTATAGAAAGAGGAGAACAAAAGAAAGACTTAAAGGGTCAACCTTGACTTGAGGTCACTCTGTTGCATATTTCACGCGAGTATGCAACCACAGCGCTGAAAGAGTAGGTAGATTGAGTCGGACTTCTGGCCGTGACTTTAGAAGCTAGCTAGAAACAGCAAACAACCAATTTGCTACTCAATTTCCAAGTTTGACTACTACTGATTAGCAGCGCAGTTAACGGGGCAAATTATATGTAACACACTCATACAATGAACAGAGATAGAAGAAGAAGAGAAGAGAATTTGAGGATTGAGGAGAGAAGTAGAGACTGGAGAGTGAAGAAGATTAACTGTATTGCAAAACTTGGCATAAAAAATCCAGATTACATTTCCTTCTTTCCCCAACCAATTAACAAACACGCAAAAATATGAAAACTGGGAAATTTATTTAAACAGCGATGTCGTCAGCTGAAGCCAACTGCCACTGGAAGACGACGTTGATGGATCTCAGTTTCAACGTACCATTCTCTCATACTCCATCTTTTTCCCTTTCACCTTCCTTGGCTTCCTTGCTACCATTGAGGGCGGTTACTACACCCCCTCCTTCCGTAAGGATCAAATGATGGGAACTGATTCATCACCTGATAATAATCTTCTCAGGTTGCTTCTTCAAAAGGCAAGTTAGTCCATTGAACTAGAATCTACACCGGAAAAAGACTAAAATGTGAAGATAGAATTACTTATTTTCCAAAATTTGAATATTTATTTTTGTGAACAAAAATATGAAAAACGAGTTTGGGACTTGCGTTTGATGTCAGAAGTGGTCAAATAAAAAACGCAAATCCCACTTGCATTTGTGTTTAAAAAAAAAAAAAAAAAAAAAAATTAGTCGCCGGCGACACCCTTCTCCAGTGAAGGAGAAGGCAATGGTTGCCTTCTCCTTCGCTGGAGAAACCGGCGACCCAAATCCCTGGCTTCTCCAGCGAAGGAGAAGGCCACTGCCACTGGTTGCCTACTCCTTTGCTGGAGAAACCGGCGACCCAAATTCGCTGGAGAAGCCAGCGATTTGGGTCGCCGATTTCCCCAGCGAAGGAGAAGGCAACCATTGCCTTCTCCTTCGCTGGTGAAAGGTGTCGCCGGCACACCAATTAAAAAAAAAAAACGCAAGTGGGACTTGCGTTTTTTATTTGACTACTTCTGACATCAAATGCAAGTCCCAAACTCATTTTTCATATTTTTGTCCACAAAAATGGACATTCTCATTTTAAGAAATAAGTAATTCTATCTTCACATTTCAGTCCTTTTTCCAATCTACACAACTGCCTTGTTATTCCGCTTAACCATTATTTTCTCCAGCACTATAAGTGGCTCAGCTAGAACTTGCCCTTCCTGCCCTGTGATTAGAGGATCAATCTGTGTAGTAACACCAACCCCAATCTTCTTCTTGAGATGTGAAATGTGGAACACCAAGTGCAACAATGTTCTTAGTGGATGGTAACAACTTATAGGCCACTCCAATTTTTCCAGTCACCTGGTAAGAACCAAAATATCTAGAAGACAACTTCAAATTGTTTATTACATACTGTCACAGACACCTGTCTTATAGGGTTGAATTTTTAGGTAAATCCAATCTCCAACTTCCAATGGCATCTCATTAAGTTATACTTTTTTGAGTGAACTTAATATAAAATATTGAAGGAAAAAAAAAATAGAAGAATAGTTTCTCTTTAATAATAACGGGAGACAAACATCAAACAAATAATTAGATAATCTTTAATAAAAATTAATTAAATTAAATTAAATATTTGTTAAATTTAAGGTTTAAATGAGGATTCATCAAATTTAAATTAATAGATAATCACCATATATGACGTTCATTAGCTTTGAACTAAATACAGAGTATTAAACTTTATATATTTATCACTTTCCCTCAAATTTGAATTGAGTGGTCATTGCAACTCATAAAATTAATTTAAATAAGACAAGATTTAAACTCACAACATACTAATGGAACTAGATTGTAATGTATGAAAAACATTCTATAATGATACCAAGAATCAAGTACTAAGTTATAAACACAGAGGATGAGTGTTGTTCTTCCGATCTCATTGGGGAAACGAGGTAAGGTTTTGGGGATGACTGTTGTTCCTCTGATTCCGTGGAGGAATAGAGGTAAGGTTTAGGGGGGATTGGCAAATCTTCCACTTTACCTTCTAACATTTCCACTACCCTTGACATTGATGGTCTAGTTGATGGATCAGTTTGTATGCACCACAAGCTTACTATTACCATCTTTCTTGCACACTCCTTCTCCTCTTCATTCGTTACTCCATTCAATCCAAACTCATCATCTAACACAAGCCGTGTGTAAATCCAATGTGGAAAGTATATTTTACTATTGCGGCTAGCCCCAACATCGACATTCCTTCGTCCTCCAACCATCTCGAGAACCACCATCCCATAACTATAAACATCTGACTTGTGAGAAACTCCTCCGATCCAATGTTTTTGCAAACAACTTCTGGAGCAATATATCCGATAGTTCCTCGTGCACCAAGGAGTGAAACAATGCTCTCCTGTTTGGTGCATAGCTTAGCAAGACCAAAATCAGAAATTTTGGGAGAGAAGTGTTCATCTAGAAGAATATTATGAGGCTTTATATCCAAGTGTAGGATGCGAGTGTTACAGCCGCGATGCAAGTACTCTAATCCTCTAGCTATGCCTATTGATATTTGATATAACATGTTCCATCCCAGTTGACGACCCATCAAAGATTCATCGTCATAAATAAAATTCTCAAGGGATCCATTAACCATGAACTCATAAACGAGAGCTCTTTTTCTTCTTTCAATACAAAATCCAATAAGGTTGACAATATTAACATGAGAAGTCCTACTAATACTCGCCACCTCATTGATGAATTCTTCTCCACTGGCACTTAGTTCCTTCAAAACCTTAACTGCCACAAGGTTTCCATTGCCTAACTTTCCTTTATATACACAACCAAAGCCTCCTTTACCAAGTTCATTCTTGAATGAGTTTGTGATTTTCTTTAGTTCTGAATATCTAAATCTTTTTGGAGCTAAAGATCCATGGCTCTTAAGAAACTGTTCTACCTCAGTTGTGAGATCCATGGAAGAACAAAATGACAGTTTCTTGGTAATGCAGAGTAATAGGATGAACATGAATATAAGGATCAGTGCTGCCCCACCTATAACTGAAGAGAATATTTATCAAGGTCTTGTTTCCTCAGGAATATAGTGTAGGAAAATGTTGTTTGTTTATATATATACTAGTTTTTTACGCACATTGCGCGATTGGGATAATGCTCAATATTTTTTTTTTTTAAATAAGTACTTTAAAGTATATCAAGGCAAGATCATATTGGAATTGTTCATGCATAGATAATTGAATGTTGAATTTGCGTATTTAAATAGTTAATTCTAAGTTTATAAATGCAAGATAATATAGTTAAGATTGATTATAATTGTCAATAAAATAACTTTATATGTATGGTTAAAACCAAATACGGGATATAAGGGAGAGCAAATAAAAATTAGGGCATAAAATATTAAATATATACTAATATTGAAGAGCTAACTGCTGATTGCCAAACAAGGACATTGCGAGGTAGTTTTCCACCTCAATTGTTGTGTGATTTGAATACTATTTTTTTGTCAATAAATCCCCCAAGTAGTTAATATGATTGACTTAATTATATTTTTTATTTTTTTATTTTTTTAAACAATTATTATTATTATTATTATTATTATTATTATTATTATTATTATTATTATTATTATTATTATTATTAAATATATGTATACCCTTAGGTCATTTTACATGTTAATCTAAACAGCTAGTTTTTTCAAATATCTTTTTACCCACCGTTGATATAATTCGCTGGTCAAATCCGTTAATATAATCCGCTAACTGTTGATTGTTAAACAAGGACATTGTGAGATAGTTCTCACTTCAATTTGTTGTGTGATTTGAATACTTTCTTTGTCAACAAATCCCTAAAGTATTCGTAGTTAATATGATTAACTTTATTAATTATATTTTTCTTAATTTTTTCATGGTATTAATAAAATACTTGGTAAATAAATATATAGCATTATTTTGTATTATAACTTTGATATTTAATTAAAAAAAATAGTGCACAAAAAAGATAATAGACAATGTAGTGAATATAATCAATTGAATTTGAATGTAAAGAATTTTTACATTGGAGAAAAATAAAGACAATATAACTAATAAATTTATTTCTCTTAATTAATTTATTGATAATGAATAATTTTTTTTAATAAAGACATTGTGGGGACAAATGTAGCGAATATAATCAATTGATGAATTTGAATGTAAAGAATTTTTATATTTGAGAAAAATAAAGACAATATAACTAATGCAATTATTTCTCTTATTTAATTTATTGATAATGAATAATTTTTTTTTAATAAAGACATTGTAGGCACATAATTTTAAATTAAAGAAATGCATATGTATTTTTTTGGTGTAGCTACTAAATTATTATTTAATTTAATAAGATTAAAATAGAGTACTAATTATGCCAACTTTGATCGGGATGAGGTTTGAACCTAAGACCTTTCTTATTGGAATCAATGAGTAACTTAACGGTGAACTAACAGAAGTTAACAGAAAAGATAATATTTAACGGAAAAGTTAACGGATAATCATATTCATTAAGGATAAATTAGGAAATCTTAAGGAAAAATTAAAATCTGATCAATCTGAACCATTCATTTGATTAAAAAATTTGACCGCCATTTTTTCTACCCATTATAGGCCTAACTCTCTTGGGCTATTATTAGTATAGTAGATAGTAGATATGATGGCTACTATAATTTTCCATGAATGATAGATAATGACAAAACTAACCTGTGATTATAATTATTTTCCGCTTGCTCTTTCTCGTGGTCTCGGCCTCTATAAAAATAAGCCAAATATTGCGTTAAGTGGTGGAAGTCCACCCGGTGCATAATACAGTACTTAAATCAATACCCTAATTTTATCATAAAAATTAGCTCATAAATGAAGATTTGATCTCAATTTAAGTACAATTCCATTCTCTCTTGTAAAATTAATGTAAGACCGTACATATTAGTGTGCCATATAAATAAACTACAGGTCAATATGCAGCAAGGAGTTGTTATACCACGGTGCAAGGTAGACCTTGGTCCATGGTATAACAACTCGAGGTTTGGGGCCTAGATCCCTAATTGGCTAGGGGCTAGGCTACCAGATGCTATAACTATATCATCACTAAGCCAAGCCTGGCATGATATCTTCAAATACAGTTTATCAATGACTAATTGAGTATTAACTCATATTAGATTAGGCCCTGTTTGGTAAAAAATTGGCCTATAGGCCAATTTTGGCCTATTTGACCACTATTAATTGTTTGATTTAGTTAAAATATCAATATAAATGTTTGGTTAATTAGCTTTTTGCAACTCCAAAAGGCTAAAATTCAAAAAGTTACTCCAAGCAACTTTTTCAATTAGCTTTTTAAAAAAAAAAATTATACCAAACAGCTATCAGCTAACAGCTAATTTACCAAACACTTTTCTACAATCAGCTAATGTTATCAACTATTTATACTCTCTAATTAACACAAACAGCTATCAGCTAACAACCATTTTACCAAACAGGGCCATATATAATCATCACCAATGCCTGTAGACTGAAGATAAGAACTTGAGAGCAAGTCTGGAATTGAAGTTTCATGTTTTCCTAAAATAGCAACTACTGCCTTATTGAAAAATGTTGAGATAGAAAAGGATGAACTCTAGCTGAGCAATAACAAAGTAGTAATAGATAATGCAAATGAAGAACAGAAGGGGGGCTTACCGGGTTCAAGTTTGCATCTCGCGGCATGAGGCCTGTCAGGACAGAAACACAAGAAGTGGAGAGTGGTGGCGTTAAACCCACACCGCCCTCCACTCTCTGCACATTCTTTGCAACTACTTAAATTCCATCTCAACTCAAATCCCCTTTTCAATAACAAATCATAGTTCACCACACCACTTCTATCAGTTATATCATCTTCCCTTATCTCCACTGGTGCCAACACATTCTCTTTGCAATCCTGCAACGCAGATTTCAAGTTTCCACTACCTTCAAACAATACCAACCCCCAATCATTACAACCAACCTTGTACCTCCAAAGACGCTCTACAATTGATTCACTGCAATTCCGCAATATATTGATTCTTGATTCAGTACCCAACCTCAACCAAACACTCATACTCCCATTTGTCACCGTTAGATTTTTAATATCAGGAAGACAACCAGCTTCCGGCCCTGAAACGGCAGCATTATAAACCCTTAAAGAATTGTTGTCATAGGAAATGTTGTCGACTACGTAATCATTTTCAGGCATGCGAAGAATTGGATAGCCCTGCCCATCACAACTGATGTTGAAATCTGGGAAACCACAATAAGATTCTTGCTGGCCTTGAAGATAAAAGGGATACTTTATTTCTGAGCCATGGGCACATTTCTTTGGCTCACAGGCTTCATATTGCAGATCATCAGCAGCAGCAACAGAAGATTTTTGTGGCAGAAGGACAAAATTGAATAACACTATGAAGATGCATATGGTTTTTTGGTTCATTATTTGTGATTTTGTGATACTGATGAATAGCTGATTAGTACAGGTTCGATAAACTAACATGGAAGTATATTTTAATGAATGAGAGCTTGAGTCAAGGAAGATGGCTTAGCTTGACTGGGTAAAATGGTCCTTGTGCAACTGGCCCTGCCAAACTAATGTGACAATGTTAGATATGATATCTTCATCTTGTAAATTCTATAAAAAGTTGTCTAAATCATATATTTGGAAGTATGAAGTAAATTTGTACGTAGTAATATTTTTGTACAAGAGTAGCCATTCCTATTAACAATAAAAAGTCACTTCAGTTAACTAATTTCCCTTATCTAGTTATAGACTTACAGTACATAAAAATGTGAATTAATGGCAACACATTTTTGGTTCCCGATCATTTTGAAAGGCTGTATTTAACAGTCATTGATTGTTAAGGTGGAGTATTCGGTGATTATATTATAATTATTAATTTATTAATTACTTTGTAATGCATTGTATATCAAAGTATTGTTTCCAATATATTGTTTCTATTGTATATACAATATATTGTATATCCAATATATTGTTTCTATTAAAAAATATATGTGACCTTAATATATTTTATCAAACAGATTAATTTCATATTCATATTCATATTCCTATTTTTGTCTAAATGACTAAATATAAGGTTAAGATTAGTTCTTAGTTTCCTCAACAAAGTATAAAATAGGAAAGAGAAGGAAGAAACAAAGATTAACAGGGCGTTTGGTTGGAGGGAGTTTAAATTCCCTTCCCACATAATTCCCACTTAATTCCAAAGGCCATGAAATTCCTTACTTTGGTTGGAAGGAATTGCAATTCCCCCAATTTCATGGAATTAAAATCCCATGTCCTCCCCCCCCCCCCCGGTATTTTAATACCTTGGATTTTAGGAAGAAAAAAAAGCTAGTGATGAGACAAAATTATCCCTCCTTTTTTTAAACCTAAAATTAATACCACAACAATAATTGACATTTTGGACTTTATACTATTTATTCCCTTTCAATTCCCATGTATACCAAACATTGGAATTAAAATTCCCAGTAATTCTATTCCCGTAAACCAAACACTAGAATTTAAATTCCTACTTTATTCCTAGTAATTCATCTCCCATGGAATTGCAATTCCTTTCCCACGTAATTCCCCCCTTCCAACCAAACGCCCTGTAAAGGGTAGAGCCAGAAAGACTTAAAAGGTTGACCTTGACTTGAGTCAACTGTGTTGTATTCATTCTTTCAAAATGTTGAACACTTGAACCCCAACATTAAGGCCCCCCACACTCCGGCCTAATAAAACATTTGGGATGTAATCATGGTAACTCAACTGAACATGAACCACATATGCTAGATCTTTACTTACTGCGCAGGAGCCCCTCAGAGGTTAGCCCATACTGCCGCTAGTGAGACTCGATCCTGATCATTCTTTCTAATTTTCACCTCTATAACCAGTTATAAGCTGCCCATGCGGGCAATTGTGTTGTATTCATATTTCCACTCGATGTAACCACAGCTGAATGAGCACAGTCAAAATATACAGGTACTGTGCATAATGCCGTATTATGCACAGTACATGTATATTTTGACTGTACCAAAAACGCGTTGCATGGCTCTTCCATTTTGTGATATGATCAACCAGGCCACTCCTAAATTAATACTAGTAAAGTCAACAGAAAAATATGAACGGTCTGTTAGTCTGTACCTAAAAGAAAATCAAAGAATTCACTTCTCTTTCATGTCAATGTCAAACCAACCCAAAAAACACCCCACACACTTTTGTATTACCTCGCTAGAACCAAAGGCCATAAAATCAGAAATTGTCATATATATATATATATATATATATATATATATATATATATATATATATATATATATATATATATATATATATATATATATATATATATATATATATATATATAGCTTTCCAACAATAATGGAGATGGCATTTAAGAGTAGGCCAAAAGAAAATAACTAAGTAGACATTAGGTCAAATGTGTGTGCTAGACATTTCCACATGGTGTAATTAAGTAGACAGATGAAGGAGTCGGTTGACTTGGTCTTCTTGTCAAGACTTTAGCAACTAGATGATGATGATGAAAATTCATCAATTTTGAACCAAACATTATGCATCATATAACTATTCACATTTATTCATCAGTCCTGAGTGTTTAATGTAACTCGTAAAACTAGTTTAAGCAAACAAAGGTTCAAGCTCGCAACATACACATTTTTTTTTTATTTTTTTTGGTGAGGGACTGAGATCGCAACATACACATTATTTTGCTTTAATTGTTAACAAGAGTGATGAACACACAACTATATACTTCAAAACTAGTTCTTTCATGTCTGTAGTATCATACAATACATTACACATCCTTTCAGAACATGCTTTACTACACTATAATAGATGAATGAAATGTTATAATAACTATATATAGTGCACCCAAAGATCAAGTACTAGCTTATAAACACAACTGATGAATGTTGTTCCTCGGATGTTGCAGGAGAATAGAGGTAAGGTTGAGGAGGGATTTGTAAATTTTCTAGGTTACCTTCTAACATCTCCACAACCTTTGACATTGATGGTCTAGTTGATGGATCAGTTTGTATGCACCACAAACTAACTATTACCATCTTTCTTGCACACTCATTCTCCTCTTCATTCATTACTCCAATCAATCCAAGCTCATCATCTAATATAAGCCGTGAGTAAATCCAATGTGGAAAGTATATTTTACTATTGCGGCTAACTCCAACATCAACGTTCCTTCTTCCTCCAACCATCTCAAGAACCATCATCCCATAACTATAAACATCGGACTTGTGAGAAACTCCTCCGATGTTTTTGCAAACAAGTTCTGGAGCAATATATCCAATAGTTCCACGTGCACCAAAGATTGACACGATGCTCTCCTTTTTGGTGCATAGCTTTGCAAGACCAAAATCAGAAATTTTGGGGGAGAAGTCTTCATCTAGAAGAATATTATGAGGCTTTATATCCAAGTGTAGAATTCGAGTGTTGCAGCCACGATGTAAGTACTCTAAACCACGAGCTATGCCTATTGAAATTTTATATAACATGTTCCATCCTAATTGACGACCGGTCAAAGGATCAGTGTTATAAATGAATTTCTCAAGGGATCCATTAGGCATGAACTCATAAACAAGAGCTCTTTTTCTACCTTCAATGCAAAATCCAATTAGAGTGACAATATTGACATGAGAAGTCCTACTAATACTTGCCACCTCATTGATGAAATCTTCTCCACTGGCTCTTAGTTCCTTCAAAACCTTAACTGCCACAAGGCTTCCATTGCGCAATTTTCCTTTATATACAGAGCCAAAACCTCCTTGACCAAGTTCATCCTTGAAAGAAGTTGTGATTTTCTTTACTTCTGAATAACTGAATCTTTTAAGGGCAAGGAAGCCATGGCGGTTTAAAAACTCTGGTGTCTCTTGATACTTCTTTCTTTTAGAACAAAACGATGACAGTTTCTTGATAATAAATAGTAGTAGGGTGAACATGATGAGGACCAGTGCTGCTCCGCCTGAGATTGAAGAAAAAGTACTTGTATTAAGGTCGATCTCATTTGCTCATAAATGTAGAAAATGTAGGAAAATATTGTCAGTTAAACGTGGGACAAAACTTACCTGCCACTAGAACTAGTCGTTTCAGCTTTCTCTTTCTTGTGTTTCCTGTTCTCATTTTAAACAGGTGAAACATAATGTTAGATAAATTCCCTTTTGATAGGTGTTTGTCCATTAGTGATGAATAAACTAATCTAGCCATAGTCCTTGTAGACTTGTAGTTAATCAAAAGCATCCTCTAAGTGAAGATCTAATTGAAAAATGACAAGTGAAACTTTAGTAAAATTTTACAAGTCTTGACTTGGTAGAAAAAAAAAAAAAGTAATATGTAGCATTATCCCTTGTAAACCCTTTTTATTTTATTGATGATCGATCCAAACTCATATCTAAGTCATTTTAATTAATATAATGAAATAAATTAACCTAGGTGGCCCGAATTAGTTGAATCAATAATTAAGGAATAAATAATAAACACGTAGGAAAGACAAAGCTTTGTATTAATAAATTATGTAAGATGATTACTAGAAGGATTGTTGGTTCTTGACAAGACAAATAGAAGATTTTTATAATAAATTAGCCTTATAACAGTCCCTAAGAAAAGGGTGTGCGGTTATAACCCTTTTGACCATGTCCATGCATCCCACCAACCTCGTGACCGGGTCTTGACTAGCCTAGGCCGACCACCGGGCTCGGCCTTAGCTCCTTGAGACCGGGCGCTGAGCTTGGCCTTGGCCGCTCGAGGCTGAGCTCAGGGCCACTCGAGCTAGAGCGTTGTGCTTAGCCTCGAGGCGTCTAGGCCAGCTACGGAGCAGGCCTTGGGCGCCCGAGGCCGCGATAGCTTGGGGCCAACCTCGGAGGTCGGCTCGGGTTGCCTTGACCTGTCTCCTCATGTCAATTATATTTGCTCTGAACCGTACCCGTGTTGGGTAATATGGTTGAAAATTTCCAAAAATAATAATAATTCTACGGAAAGATTAATATTATATGGGAAAACAGAAAATTGGGAAGGAAAAGGTTGAGTGTTTGGGTATAGGTTTAGCACGAGTTCGAACACAAGGTTCTTTTCCTTAAAACCTTATTTGCTACCTCCCACAAGTGCTAGGAGCGTTGTAGCCTAGGTTTCCCAGGATAAAACGTGCTACGATTCCTTGTTTAAGCACCTAAACAAGGAACCCGGCAAACAAAGCAAAGTAGAGAACACTAGTTGGTAAAGAAGAGAGTAGAAGCAGAATTTTGGGAAGCTGAAAGCTACTGGAATTCCTTTCGTTTTTGTACTGTGTAAAATGCTACTGCTTCTACCTCTCTTTATATAGGGATGTTGGAGTGATAGCATTCAACATGGCCATTAAATTGGTGTTAAAACCAATTGTGTAACACCTGTAACGGTCACCACTAAGTAGGATTAAACTCAGAATTTAAAAATTGAAATTAAAACAGTATTAATTCCGTAACAGATGAGTTTAATCTTCTGCACTTTCGGGTTTCAGACGGTTGGGTTGCAGGTTCACACGAGAGCACACGGACCAGTCAACACGAGAGTACATCTCTCGTGTGCACTGTGGTGCAACCCGAGAGTGCACTACTCTCGTGGTCACAGATGCACGAGAGTTGTGCTCTCGGTGCACCACAACCTCTCGTGCTACACACGAGAGTAGGTGCTCTCGGTTCGGTTCTGGCCGAACCAAGTGAGTACATCTCTCGTGTGCACTGTGGTGCAACCCGAGAGTGCACTACTCTCGTGGTCACAGATGCACGAGAGTTGTGCTCTCGGTGCACCACAACCTCTCGTGCTACACACGAGAGTAGGTGCTCTCGGTTCGGTTCTGGCCGAACCAAGTGAGTACATCTCTCGTGTGCACTGTGGTGCAACCCGAGAGTGCACTACTCTCGTGGTCACAGATGCACGAGAGTAGGTGCTCTCGGTTCGGTTCTGGCCGAACCAAGTGACTATACCAGATGGAAAATGATACCGAAGTTAGGCATAACTTAGCCCGCAAGGCCAGCCCATTTCCGGATGACATTTGTGCCCGCAGGTGCCGGCGCACGCGAACTCTTTTTTCCAACCTACTGAAGCACAAAAAGCCAATAACGCTTCCAATCTCCCATATGAGAGTCCAACTCAAGTGCCATTTGAGCAGATGACATAACTATTGATTACACATTGTAGTACTTTGAATTAAAAGAGCAAGGTCAGTGAGACTTCACCACTTTCAACTCAAAACATTAGGTACATGCCATTTTTATTAAAGAATTGGCTAGGCCCTGTTTGGTAAATGGTTGTTAGCGGATGACTATTAGCTGATTGTGTTAATTAGAGGATATAACTAGTTGATAATATTAGCTGTTGTAGAAAAGTGTTTGGTAAATTAGCTGTTAGCTGTTTGGTATAATTTCTTTTCTAAAAAAGCTAATTGAAAAAGTTGTTTGGAGTAGCTTTTTGAATTTTAGCATTTTGGAGTTGCAAAAAGCTAATAACCAAACACTTATATTGATATTTTAACTAAATCAAACAATTAATAGTGGTCAAATAAGCCAAAATTGACCCATAAGCCAATTTTTTACCAAACAGGGTCTATGACTAACTCCTGTACTAGAAGAATATAAATGGGAGGAAAATAAAAGAGACAAGCACAGGATGAGTTGTGAGGACAAGATCAGAGTGTTTACCTTTTGCACAATGAAATTGATTTTTGCCGGCTTCTATACATTGGCCTCCTCCTTGGTAACACTGATGGCAAGTTTGTGAGACTTCCAAGTACAATCCAAATTGAGCAGTTAAGACATCAATTTTTTGTTGAATAAGAATTGGAGTTGGATACAGGGTACAGTAAACAGTATCACATTTGGGATTCTCTGGAATCAACAGACGTTTATAGTTCAAACTAAAACTAAATCCTTCAGTACAGTTATACATTTCATAATTGCCCATATCATCAGCTTCACTGTAATTGCATTTCAAAACGGGGGGCAATTCCTTTGCTTCCAAATTGTGGAATGTGATAGAAGGAGAATTCGGGAGTTGGAGGGTGTAGTTTAAATTTGAGTAATTAGGAGGGTACTCAAGGAATCTCTGAAGCTTTAAGTCTCCAAGGAAGATCACATAGTCACCCCAGACAGGTGGTTTCACACGCAGAAGCTGATACCAATCTCCCCCCGTTTCCAACTGGATATTTGGAAGTGGTTTAGCATCACAATCCACCACAATTAAACCACAATGAGGCTGCGTGTGTTGAGCAAAAGGGAACTCCAGATAACCCATACTTCCACAGAGGAATCCCTTCGTACAATTAGATGGCAAAAACTCATCTTCTCCATGAGCAAAGTATAAAAAGAGCATTAAGGGAAAGAGAAGGAAGAAACTAGAAGGATTAAAGAGTAGACCCATACCAGCTTTCTTCTTCTTCTCCTTCTCTCAAACAATGGAAGAAGGAAGAGAATTATAGAAGATCAGAGGAGAACAGCCAGCAGAAAGACTTAAAAGGTCGACCTTGACTTGAGGTCAACTGTGTTGCATGAATATTTCCACGCGATGTAACCCAAGAGATGGAAGAGTAGCTTGACTTGAACTTCTGGCCATGACTTTAGAAGCTAGCCACAAACAGCAAACAAGGAAATTGCTACTCAATTTCCAAGTTTGACTAGTGGTTAGCAGCAGACTGAAAATATATATATGTAAAGTGCATGCATATATAATGCAGGAGAGTATGAAAAAGGGGTTGCATACCCCTTCTTGAGTGGCTGTGATCATCAACCAATCCTAAATTAGTACTCATAAATCTTCTTATTGGTAAAGTCAACAGAAAAATATGGTGGGAAATCAAAGAATTATTTCTCTTTCGTGGGGCCATGCAAGTAGAAAACTAACCCAAAAACTGTTTTGCATTACTGTAGCAGGTGACAGGGTCCAATTTCTTTAGCTCCTCAACCTACCAAGTACCAAAACCAACTATCAGACTTTAACAGGAAAGGATGAAGAAATGTTTTTGTAAAAGAAGAATATGGCCGAATATCGACCTATATCACTGCAACAAACAACATTTTTATAATACATAAGACTGCTTAAATTAGAGCAAAGATCAGTAAAAATGCAAACTCTTTGCATTTACTTATGTTTCTATGAGAATATATAAGACGTCTTTTCTTGATATTTTCCAGACTATGTTATGCAAGGAATCACACATGTTGGCACTTCTTAACAAACTAGTCAAAATTTAATAAAGCAAATGATTGAATCACAAAATAACTTCATCGATTTACAAAGGAACTAAACTACTAGACATAAAGCAAGTTGATCTCATATATGTCTATGCCTATTCATATCCACAGCCGGCATTTACTGTCTTGCTCAAGGTCTTGTTTTAATGAGAGATCAAAGAATTGTGAAGAACCCCAACCTCCCTTCTTGTGACACCAAGAACAAAAAACCACCATCGGAGTCAAAGTGAGGATCAATATGATTCCTCCAAAAACTGTAATGAAACAAGAACAGAATCAAAAGTCTGGTCTGCTGAAAATTAAGTAAAATATAGTGATTAGAATATATACTCCCCTGGAAATAGAAGTGGTATTTTTCATTTTTAGGTTAGGGAACAATAGGGTACAATAATCATAAGTTGGATATTAAAATGAAATAAAATACTCTAACAAATCCTACATAATAACAACACAATCACCAACTCCAGTGACTTCAACAGCTGCTCTTCGTAGCTGCAGCATTTTTCAAAGTCCCATGAGCTGCAAGTGAGGGACCAGCCCATGTCCAGCGCATTGCTTTTTGTCGCACCTCCTATGTCATAAGATTACACCAAAAACAAACAAATTAATGACCTAAAATATCACATGATTTCACAAGCTTTTGATAAAAAGCACAGCTCCATTTACTTATTTTGGATTCATTGGAGGTATCTTACCTCTTCTTTAGATACATTAGTCTCCTCACCATTCACCCTTTCGTCCCCATTGTTCAACTCATTGCCTTGAATCTCCTTCAGAGACTCCAATACACGTTCCATTGTAGGCCTCATATCCTTGTCAAGTTGCAAGCATTCAAAAGCTAGCTCTGCCACTGATGTGGTCATTCTCTTTATTTCATTATCCATCTCATATCCCAGAGAGGAATCAATGAGTTCATCAAATGCTCCAGTTAGAATCTTGTTTGTTGCTAGTTTTGCCAAATTTATCTCGTGTGTATGCCTACGTATATCCACAGCAGGCATTGATGATATGAGTTCAATAAGTACAACCCCAAAGCTATAAACATCACTCTTATAAGTGAGCTGATAACACTCATGATAATCTGGATCAACGTATCCAGGTGTTCCTTGAGGTGTAGTGGTGGCATGAGTGGCATTAGCAGGGAAGGGTCTTGAGAGCCCAAAATCTGCAACTTTGACGCAGAAATTGTTATCTAGAAGTATGTTACTAGTCTTCACATCGCGATGTATTATGCCTGAGGCATGGAGATAAACCAACGCTGCAGCAGTTTCCACTGCAATCTTCATGCGGGTGGGCCATGTGAGCAGTCCATCTGCTGCTCTTTTTCCATGGAGATGATTTTCAACTGTTCCATTAGGAACGTATTCATACACAAGGAGGAGTTGGTTATGCCTTGTTGAACACCCATATAGTGTAACAAGATTTCGGTGCTTTAACCGGGTGAGAATTGAGATTTCATTTGCAAACTGCTCCATTCTCTTGCAGTTGAATTCATGAAGGCGCTTAACAGCAACTTCTCTTCCATCCCCAAGTATCCCTAATTTGCATTCCAAGAATTAAACCTAGATAGCAGTGAAACTACTGGGAATAAAATTTGACCATCTCTTATTGTCTTACCATAGTAAACAGTGCCAAAATCTCCATCCCCAAGTTCTTTAGAAGGATCAAAATTGTTTGTGGCTTCTTCAAGTTCGGAGTAGGAGAAGACTAGAATTCCAAAGAGCCTACTACGGTCCCTCTCAAGGTCTGAGGCAGGATCCGATGATGTATTCCTCGAATAGCCTTTCCTTCCTTTCTTGCATTGCCAAACAAGAAAGATAGCCACCAAGCTTACAAGGATCAGTGCTAAACCACCTGAAAGTACTGAAGAATGAAAAAGTAATATGTATCCTGGTCTCAGTTCCTCAGAAATGTAGAGAATGTAGGACAGTGCAGGTGGTTGATACATGAAGGATATAAAAAGTTCAACAACTTAATTACCTGTGATTAGAATGAGTTTCAGCTTGCTCTTCCCTGAGGAGATGGTAAATAAGACACAAAACATTAACATTACTCTTGTGCTAGAAGATTTGAAATGATTTTGAACATAAATAGTTAAAGATGGAGAAGAGTTATGAGGACTAGAATGCGTACCTTTTTTACATTGAAAGTCATTGTTGCTATCTGCCCTACATTGCCCTCCTCCATTGTAACAGTGATAGCACGCTTCTGTGACTTGTAATTCCACTCCAAGTCGAGTAGTTAAAATATCATTTGTTTGATCAATAAAAATTGGAGTTGGCAACGGGATACAGCTATCAGGAATACATGCGGGATCCTCTGGAATCAATGGACGTTTATAGTACAAACTGTAACCTTCAGTACAGTTTTTATACCTTTCATAACTGCAGATATCATGATCACCTTGACTGTGATCATTGCATTTTAAAAAGGTGCTGAATTCGTATGGCTCAAAATTGCGGAGTGTGATAGAAGGAGAACTCCGAAATTGGATGCTGTAGTTTAACATTTTGCAATTACGTCTCTCAAAGAGTCCCCTGAGCTTTGAGTCTTCAACAAAGATTGTAACGACATCCCGGAATTTAATCACTTTCTGAAGGTGATACCAATCTTCCCCCTTTTCCAACTGGATTTTTGGAGGAGTTGTATCACAATTTACTGCCACTAAACCACAATCAGCCTGCGTGTGTTTAGCAAAAGGGAACTCCAGATAACCTATATTTCCACAGGAGAATTCCTTCGAACAGTTAGATGGCGACTCACCTTCTCCATGAGCTAAGTAAAAGGCGGCCATTAAGGGAAACAGAAAGAATAAACAAGGAACAGAGGGCACAGCCATAGCAGCTTCCTCCTTCTCTCAAACAATGGAATTGAAGAAGAGTAAAATATTCAGTCATACACAGAAGAATTATAGAAGAGTAAAACTCAGAAAGACTTAAAAGGTTGACCTTGACTTGAGTCAACTGTGTTGTATTCATATTTCCACGCGATATAACCACAGAGCTGAAAGAGCACAGTCAAAATATACATAATGCGGGAGTACCAAAAACGTGTTGCATGGCTCTTCCATTTTGCGATATGATCAACCAGGCAAATCCTAAATTAACAGTAATAAATCTTGTTATTGGTAAAGTCAACAGAAAAATATGAACGCTCTGTTAGTCTGTACCTAAAAGAAAATCAAAGAATTCACTTCTCTTTCATGTCAATGTCAAACCAACCCAAAAAACACTCCACACACTTTTGTATTACCTCGCTAGAACCAAAGGCCATAAAATCAGAAATGTGGATACTACACCCGCTTCAGTGTGACCAATCAGCAGCCATAGCCCATAAGTCATAACCAATGCGATGCGTTCACATTATATCATTTTCTCAAGGAATATAACTTAGCCTCCACCTAAGATTTTTAGCTATTTGAAGAGAATTATACTTTTCTTTCTTGGCAAAAAATTGTGTGAGACTGTAATTCTTGTCCGTGAAACGGATAGGGTAGACAACTGGATAATATGTTTAATGAAGGTACACTTATCACAATTTCAATTATAAATATTACATTATTTATCATTAATAACAATCAATTTTACCATAAATCCTTTTTGAAGGGGTAAAGACACTGAGACAGCATCAAAGTGGGCCAACCAGCCCCATTAGGCACGCCCCAAGAAGAGTTATAAAACTAGCTCTTTTTTAGCTGGCTTAACTAACCCTAACCCGTCTCACGCAAGTTGGGCCTAATATTGACCTAGATCACTTGGTCACTGCAACAAAGAATATAATTGCTCCAAAAACTGGAATGAAACAAAAACATAATAGAAGGTCTGGTTTTACTCGCTGGGAATAGAAGTGGTATTTCATTATAGGTTAGGAAACAGTATGTACAATAATCATAAGTTTGATAAGTAAATGAAATAAAATACTCTGTTACAAATCCCATATAGTAAGAATATAATTGCCAGTTCCGGTGACTTCAACAGCTGCTCTTGGTAGCTGCAAAATGCTTCAAAATCACACCATCTGCAAGTGAAGGCCCAGCCCATGTCCAGCGCATTGCTTTTCGACGCACCTCCTATGTCATAAGATTACACCAAAAAAAACAAATTAATAGGCCTAAAATTACATGATTTTACATGCATTTGATAAAAAAGAACAGGTCCATGTACTATATAAAATCCCTGTGCTACCATGCTCTCTATAGGATAAACCACACAAATTTACATAGGGAGTGTTTAAACAATATTTTGTCCTCCCTCGGCAGATAAGAAAAATGATCTAATTTTCAAACACTATTACTAGCTAGATGTAGCAGAGCTCTTCTTTACTGATTTTGGATAAGTTGGAGATATTACCTCTTCTATAGACACATTAGTTTCCACACCATTCACCCTTTCGTCATCGTTGCTCAACTCATTGCCTTGAATCTCCTTCAATGACTTAAATACATGTTCCATTGTCGGCCTCATATCCTTGTCAGGTTGCAAGCATTGAAAAGCTAGCGCTGCCACTGAAGTGGCCATTCTATTGATTTCAGTATCCTGCTCATGTCCCAGAGAGGAATCAATGAGTTCATCAAATGCTCCTGTAAGAAACTTGCTCATTGCTAGTTTTGCCAAATGGATCTCGTCTGTATGCCTACGCATGTCCAGAGCAGGCATTGATGATATGAGTTCAATAAGAACAACCCCAAAGCTATAAACATCACTCTTATAAGTGAGCTGATAACACTCGTGATAATCTGGATCAACGTATCCAGGTGTTCCTTGAGGTGTAGTGGTGTAATGAGTGACATTAGCAGGGAAGAGTCTTGAGAGCCCAAAATCTGCAACTTTGACGCAGAAATTGTTGTCAAGAAGTATGTTACTAGACTTCACATCGCGGTGTATTATGTCTGAAGCATGGAGATAAACCAATGCTGCAGCAGTTTCCACTGCAATCGTCATGCGGATTGGCCACGTGAGCAGTTGATCTGCTGCTCTTTTGCCATGGAGGTGATCTGCAAGTGTTCCATTAGGTATGTATTCATACACAAGTAGGAGTTCACGGTTATGCATTGTTGAGCATCCATATAGTGTAACAAGATTTTGGTGCTTTAAACGGGTGAGAATTGAGATTTCATTTGCAAACTGCTCCATTCTCTTGCAGGTGCGCTCATGAAGGCGCTTCACAGCAACTTCTCTTCCATCCCCAAGTCTCCCTAAATTGCATTCCAAGAATTAGCGTAGAAAGTAGTGAATCTAATGGCAGAAGAAACTGAATATCTTTTATTCTCTTACCATAGTAAACAGTACCAAAACCTCCATCTCCAAGTTCTTTAGAAGGATCAAAATTGTTTGTGGCCTCCTCAAGTTCGGAGTAGGAGAAGACTAGAATTCCAAAGAACCTACTCTGGCCTCTCTCGAGGTCCGAGGTGGGATCCAAAGATGTATTTCTTGAATAGCCTTTGCTTCCTTTCTTGCGTCGCCAAACAACAAAGATAGCCAAACTTACAAGGATCAGTGCTAGACCACCTAAAACTGAAGAATGAAGAATATGCATCAAGGTTTGAATTGCTCATAAATGTAGAGAAAGTAGGACAATGTAGCTGGTTAATGATGGTTATTACTTTAGCTATACCTGTGATTAGAATCAATCTCAACTTTCTCTTTCCTGTAGTCACTGCAAATAAGCAACTAAGCATTAGTAACATACTTCTATTATAGAATTGTCATGATACACAATAAAGTAACAGGCAACATAATATTTGACATCTATTGTACTAGAAGATTTGAACATAAATAGGAGTAAAACAAAGAGACAAACATGGAGATTGGCTGTGAGGACAAGTGTGATTACCTTTCGCACATTGAAATTCATTTTTGCTGTCTGATGTACATTGGCCTCCTCCATTGTAACAATGATTGCAAGCAGGTGAAACTTCAAAGTACAGTCCAAATTGAGTAGTTAACGGATCACTTGTTCCTTCAACAACAATTGGAGTTGGATACAGGGTACAGTTAGCAGAATCACATTTACGATTCTCTGAAACCAATTGACGTTTGTGATACAAACTAAATCCATCAACACAGTTATAGCTTTCATAATCGCAGATAGCATCAGCTTCACTGTATTTGCATTTTATATATTTATGTTGCAATTTGTTTCCTTCCAAATTGTCAAAAGTGATAGAAGGAGAATTAGGAAATTTGACGCTGTAGTTTGAAATTGAGCAATCACGGCTACGAAAGAGCGTCCGAAGCTTCGAGTCTTCAAGAGTGATTGTACTGTCATCCCAGCTTATACTCACAATCTGATACCAATCTCCCCCCGTTTCCAACTGGAGCGTTGCAAGTGGTTTAGCATCACAATCTACTGAGATTAAGCCACAATGAGGGTTTGTGTGGTGAGCGAAAGGGAACTCCAGGGGACCGAGATTTCCACAGGAGAATCCCTTGGGACAATCAGATAGGGACTCGTGTTTTCCATGAGCGATGTAAAAGGCCATTAAGGGGAACAGAAATGAGAAACAAGGAATGTAGGGCAGAGCCATAGCAGCTTCCTTCCTCAGCTCCTCTATCAATGGAAGAAGAGAGGAGAACAGCAGAAATAATTAAACGTTCGAGCTTGACTTGAGGTGTGAAAGAATATATTGACTTGGACTTCCGGACATGACTTTAGAAGCTATAAACCGCAAACAAGGAAATAAGGAATTTGATACTCAAAATTCCATGTATGACTTCTGACAGGGTGTTTGTTGAGATGAAAAAATCTATCCATATATTATTATTAAAAACAAAACCTTTCTAAAAGAAATAACAATAAGTAATACTTAAAGTAATTCTCCTTTCCTTTTATATAATAAGGAAATAATAATCAGTAATACTTATTAAACAATAATAATTACGGAGTAATAGTATTTTTTTTCAGTCAATTAATGATCCTTTTCGGTTTCCTTTTTTATAAGAATCAGTATACTTATTAAAGAACAATAATAACTAGTCAATTAGGGAATAAACTTATTAAAAATAAAATTTTCTTTTTTAATTATCCGTCTAAACAATTAATAATAATAAGGTTAGCAAAAAAAATGAAAAGAATTAGTGCATAAACAAAAAAAATGAAAAGACTATACCAGATGGAAAATGATACCGAAGTTAGGCATAACTTAGCCCGCAAGGCCAGCCCATTTCCGGATGACATTTGTGCCCGCAGGTGCCGGCGCACGCGAACTCTTTTTTCCAACCTACTGAAGCACAAAAAGCCAATAACGCTTCCAATCTCCCATATGAGAGTCCAACTCAAGTGCCATTTGAGCAGATGACATAACTATTGATTACACATTGTAGTACTTTGAATTAAAAGAGCAAGGTCAGTGAGACTTCACCACTTTCAACTCAAAACATTAGGTACATGCCATTTTTATTAAAGAATTGGCTAGGCCCTGTTTGGTAAATGGTTGTTAGCGGATGACTATTAGCTGATTGTGTTAATTAGAGGATATAACTAGTTGATAATATTAGCTGTTGTAGAAAAGTGTTTGGTAAATTAGCTGTTAGCTGTTTGGTATAATTTCTTTTCTAAAAAAGCTAATTGAAAAAGTTGTTTGGAGTAGCTTTTTGAATTTTAGCATTTTGGAGTTGCAAAAAGCTAATAACCAAACACTTATATTGATATTTTAACTAAATCAAACAATT